GGGGGGGGGGGGGGGGTGACGGTTACCAGCGGCGAAACTCTAACAAGTAACCGTACCTTCGACCGTTGGCAGCGCAGCGCTCCCTCCACGGGCACATGGAACTATTCTACTTACAACCTTGTCGCGGTTCATTGCTCCTATTGCGCTCTTCGGGGAAGGACAGGGACCAACCACGCACACGGAGGAACCTCGACTCTCACCGTCGCCGAGCGCATACTTGGCCACAGGGTCATCGTCGTTGTCAGTGCCCGTTGCGCTTTCTTCAGTCCCCTTGCCAGAACCACCATCGCTGGCGCCGCCGCCGCTGCCTTTAGCGCCGCCTTTGGCACCGCCACCGCTAGCGCCGGTGGCGGGCTTTCCCTGGCTTATCGCCGCCGCAATCGCCGCGCTTCCGGCGAGGCTTCCGCCCGTCGTTTCGGCGATGAGAGACTCCAGGTCGAGCTGCTCGCGAGTGCCGACGGCCTCCCGGAGGAAGTTGATGGAGGCCAGCTGCTTGGCGAGCTTGGTGTTCTTGGCCTAGGGGGCAAGCGTTGTCACGGGTGATGTTTAGCCACCAGAATCGTACGGTGGCGGTGGGAGATACCGGCGCGGGAAGAAGAAGTCTCGGGTCATTCGAACCCAACGACTTACCCTACTAACCAGAAGTGGACCAAGACACGTACCGGCCACATGCATCCCAGAGAACATCTACAAAGGTAAAACCAATGCCACGCCACATACGGTGCGTTTATCGCGCCCAACGCCCCAAAATCCCCCAACTTGAGCCCACGGATGGATGGTCCCTCTCTTGGCTACCGCAAGGGCTCAATTTGAGGGCCACACGGCACACGAACAACAGCCTGCAACCGTTAAGTTCCAACCCTTCCGCGACAGACTCAAGCCCTCATCAGTAATTTGTTGCTTGGGAGGAGATATGGAGCTTCAACACCCGTCACATCAAGGAGTGTTGTTGGGCGTACGGGCATACACATGCTGCACAATAGCACATGCCGCACAACAACACATGCGGCACAATAGCACATGCGGCACAACAGCACCATTTGTTATTCTCACCGTCGCGGGGGAATAGGCCACTCCATTGACGGACACGTTGAGCGTGAAGGGCTGGTGGCCACGCAAAGACGGAAAAGGAAGGTCGGTCGTCCGCACATAACACGCGATAGCAGTAGTCGTCGCAGAAGCAGTTGTCGTTGCAGGGGAAAGGCAAGAGGGGGGGGGGGGGCGTGAGCTCAAGAAGAGAGTTTGGTTTTGCTACACTCCCGTCCAATATCGTCTCACTCACGATGGTGGGGGGTCGCCCGCATGGACGACGTGATGACACCTTCGTTACACACCAGAGGGATCGATCGCATCCGTGGGGTTTGATTGTGGCGTGACACCATAGCTCAGTCTAAAACTCTCATCAACGGTTGCGTTTGCCAACGTCCTCAACGCAACTTTCTCATCATCTTCACAGAGTTGATTCGTTTTCTTGCTGTCTTCCATCATATTGCCAAGACGTCTCCTTCTCATTCTAACCGAAACGCTTGTTGTAAACTTCACCATCGTTCTCATTCTCACCGAGACATTCTTGGCGGCGTCTTTGTTCTTGTTCTCGAAGCTCGGGCGAGACTTGGGCTCCATCGCCGCGCACAGCTCGAAGGCAGCCGAAACAGCCGACTTTTTTTTCAGCTGCTCGTTGTCGTCACGGAAGTTGTTGTCGGAGGTAGCCGTTGTTGTTGTTGTTGTTGTTCGTGGGGGTCATGGTGGTATTGTTGGCGGCGGCGGCGGTGATGAGAATTGGGGGGCGACGCGATGAGGCGGCAGCTGGTGCTCAGAAGGCAGCAATAATATTGAGTAGAACTGGGGGTTCTTCCAGAGTAAAGCCCGTCTTTTCCCAACCACGGTCAACACATGAACCAACATGCCCGGCCAAACACCAGGACTTGAAAGTCTGCGACAATGTGCCGAGCAATAGTATCAATAGTCAAAGGGAATCGTACAAACCACGGCAACGCTGACAAGATGCTAGCGCTGGTGATGGTGGCATCGAAAAGACACTTCGATGGAGCCTCTTCGCCAAACATAGGGAGGCGGGCTTTGATCCATATCTGCTAAAAAAAGGAGCGAAGATGAGCGCCTTCCCAAGGTCAGCGCTGTTTGTTCTTCGCCTTGTAAGCGCTTTCCAATCAAAACAAGCCAAAAGGAGTACCTGATAGGCAACACGGCACGATAAGACGGTGGCATCACAAACAGAAACAAGTGAGTCGCCGGATAAAGTTGGCAACACAGGAGGTGATGACACCACCAACATAGCAAAACAAAGCTCCCATCACAAGATTCCATCATCATCATCATCATCACCCACCTTGAAGGACTTCATGTTGAGTACGGCGCCGCCGGGGTACATTCGCGCGTGGGCCAGCTCGTCCAACACCATCTTCCCGCTCCCAGGCGGGAACTCCTTCATCGGCTTGGGCGGCTCCACCACGGGGACCGGCGGAGCGGGCACGGAGCGCGCACTCCCGCCCCCCTTCTTGCCCGGGGCGGCGGTGGCGGCGGCGGCCTCGGCCGCGGCGCGCTTGGTCGGGTTCAGCTCGATGGGGTCTACGTTGCCCGCTGTGTCGTGATGATTATTGTGCGGCAGAAGACCAAAACGAGGGGGGGGGGGGG